TCACAACTTGTTGCTGGGAAAATTAAGCATGTCCTGCATGACCCCACTGGGAGAGACCCTTTGAAGCTTATGCCTGGTCTTCCCCAGACTCCACTCGCATGCACCTTTTTCCTCTGCTGATGTCGACTTTTGTTCTTTCCCTGGAAGCTGCAGTTTTCTGAGCCTTCTTAGGGAATCATCAGACCTGAGGGTGGTCTTGACAGTCCCCCACAATAGTTGTGCAGAAAATCCTAAGAAGTCTACAAAAAAGCTACTAGAACTAATAGTGAGGTTGCAGGATACAAGGTCCATATCAAAAATCTAGTTTATTTCTATTCTTGCAAAAAAGGAATCATATCAATTTTTCGATAACATTTACTGTGTCAAAAACACAGCGGACTTAGAATGAAATTTTAATTAAAAATATGGAAGACTTACTGTATTTTGGAAACCACAAATTATTTCTGAGAGAAATTAAAGAAGAGCTAAATAAATAAATGGGTGTGCCATATTTACATATTGGTGATGTGTTTACATACTGGTTACATATCAGACTGGTGATACAGCACCATTTCATCCAAATGAGAAATGAAGAATATTTTCAATGAAAAAATTAGCAGTTAAAAAACCAATAAAAATTTTTGAGTCATATAGATACCCAAATGGAGAAAAATGAATTTTGACTCCAACTCGTATCATTTACAAAACTGAAATGGATTATTAATCTAAATGGAAAAAGCAAACCCATAAAATCTTTAAAAATATATGTAAGAAAAGGATCTTGGTTAGGCAAAGATTTTTAAACAGGATGATAAAAAGCACTAACTACAAAAGAAAAGGAAAAAAAGTGGACATTGATGAAATTAGAACTTCTCTTCATCAAAAGAAAATGCTACGAGAATGAAAAGGCAATTCACCAAGAGGGGGAAGTTATTTGCAATGACACTTCCATCCCCTGGAGGACTCACATCCACATTATATTATGATGGTGCAAAAGTAATTGCGGCTTTTGCTATTTCAGTGACAAAAACTGCAGCTACTTTGTCACCAACTTAACATAAGAGGTTCTGACCGGGTGCGGTGGCTCAAGCCTGTAATCCCAGCACTTTGGGAGGCCGAGACGGGCGGATCACGAGGTCAGGAGATCGAGACCATCCTGGCTAACACGGTGAAACCCCGTCTCTACTAAAAAATACAAAAAACTAGCCGGGCGAGGTGGTGGGCGCCTGTAGTCCCAGCTACTTGGGAGGCTGAGGCAGGAGAATGGCGTGAACCCGGGAAGCGGAGCTTGCAGTGAGCTGAGATCCGGCCACTGCACTCCAGCCTGGGCGACAGAGCGAGACTCCATCTCAAAAAAAAAAAGAAAAAAGAAAAAAGAAAAAAAAAAAATATATATATATATATGAGGTTCTTACAAATCATGGAGAAAATGACTGGCACGCTGATGCTTTTAAGATGAGAAAGAGGCTTTGACAAAATGACCAATGTAAGTGAAAACACGCTCAACATCATTAGTTATCGGGTAAATGCAAATTAAAACCACCAGGAGCTACTGCATCTTCACGAGAATGGCAAAGAGAAAGGCTGAGAAGCCTATCTGTTGTAGAGATGTGTTCTCCGGTTGCCGATGGGGTGCACATGGGAACAACCCCTTGGGGAGATTGTGTGGCAGCGTCTCTTACAGCCGAGTGTTCATGTACCCTGTGAGCCAACAACCCTACTCCTGGGAATATTCCCAGGGATGCAACCTTCGTGCTCGCCAGAAGACACATGCAAGAACGTTCATAGTGGCATTATTTGTAAATAGTTAAAAAAAGAAACAGTTGACAACGGCCCGAATATCAATCAGCAGTAGAATGAATAATCTGAAGTACAGCCACACAATGGAAAAACGCATGGCAACTGAAAGAAACCAAGAAAGCAGCAATGGCTACGTCCAGCAGCACGGCTGAGTCTGCACACGGGACGTTGAGCGAAGGAAGCAGACACGAGACTGTGGGCCATGTGAGTCCCTCTATATGGTGGCCAAGGGCAGGAAGGACTTACTATTATAATTAGAGACAGAAGCATGGTGATCTCCAGGGACCATGGAGCTGGGTGGGGTAACCTAGCTGGAAGGGAACAGGGTGCTGCCTTGAGGACACATGAAATATTCCAGGCTTTGGTCCAGTTACTCAGGAGTAGGCAAATGTGAGTCATCCCTCTGCACCTGAAATGAATGCATTTCATGTCTGTAGATGATATCTTTTCACTAGGAAGGGAAGAAAGCCAGGCAGCTCATGCAAATGCACCTGCAGAGGATGAGGCTGGGCTGGGACCAGAAACCCAGGTGTGGACAGGGGCCTGCAACAGGAAAGCTGTAAGGGGGTCTCCTGGAGGGAGGTGCTGTTGGGAGGGCAGTGGCTGCAGTGGCTTTTTATAGAGACCCTGCGGATGCAGAAGGAGCTGATGGGGGACAGAGCCCCTGAGCAAACGACAAAAGTGGGAGCTTGGAAACCCAGGCCCCTGGTGATGACCAGCATTTACTGCCCCCTGACCAAGGGCAAGGCCCTCATCTCAGTCCTTGCTGTACAGTGACTCAGACTCCCTGAGCTAGGTAGGCGTCACTCTTGACATTGCTCCCACTTAACAAGGGGGGAATAGCAGTGCCAGGTCTCAATTTTGTCCAGTTCACAGCAAGTGCAGAGCCAACATCCTTACTGCCCAGCACTAGGGTCCTCATGCTTAAGCACGAAGCTGTAAGTTCTGTCTCCCACCACACTCTTTCCTTTCTTTTTTTTATTTTTGAGACGGAGTCTTAGTCTGTCACCCAGGCTGGAGTGCAATGGCATGATCTTGGCTCACTGCAACCTCCACCTCCCTGGTTCAGGTGATTCTCCTGCCTCAGCCTCCCGAGTAGCTGGGACTACAGGTGCCTGCCACCACACCAGGTTATTTTTTTTATTTTTATTCTTTAGTAGAGATGGAGTTTCTCCATGTTGGCCAGGCTGGTCTTGAACTCCTGACCTCAGGTAATCTGCCCGCCTCAGCCTTGGCCTCAAACTCCTGGGCTCAAGGGATCCTCCTGCCTCAGCCTCCTGAGTAGCTTGGACTACAGGTGTGTGCCACCACACTCAGATAACTTTTTAATTTTTTGTAGAATCAGGGTTTTGCTATATTGCCCAGGCTGGTTTTGAATTCCTGGCTTCAAGGGATTCTCCTGCCTTGGCCTCCCAAAGTGCTGGGATTACAGAAGTGAACCACAGCACCTGGCCCACACTCGTGCTTATAGCCTTCTGTCTCTTTTTTTCTGATAGAATTCTAACAGTCCCAAAGCTCTGTCCTCCAGACCCTTAGAATCTAGAGCAGCAAATTGGAGGAAAAAGAGGGTTTCCCAGTTAAGTCTGGGTGATAACAGTCAACATCTGGTTGGCCATCACGTGATGTTTATGGAGGTGGCATTAGGAACTGGCCCCCGACATATGGAAGTGAGGATGTTAAAGTCCACTACTCCAGCAGGGTGTGGTGGCGGGCACCCATCGGCCCAGCTACTGGGGAGGCTGAGGCAGGAGGATCGCTTGAGGCCAGGAGTTTGTGTACGGCCTGGGCAACGTAGCAAAATTCCATCTCAAATTTGTTTTCACGTGAATGACTCCACGGAGGCCCCCTGCATTCACCTCCAAACGGGCAGAGACAGTGCCATCACGCCTGTCAGTCGGGCTTCAGCAGTCCTGACTACCTTCTGTTTGCACAGCCTCAATCCTCTCGTTGAAATGCGCAGCATCTCCACGCTGAGCTGCCCCGTATCCTTCCACAGCTGCCTGGTACCATCGTTTCAGCCCAGGTGAATGTCCCACCCACATAGGTGAGCTGCACCTTCCTCTGCCCTTACCTTGTCCCAGCCAGATGACCTGGACCCTTCTGCCTGCTCCACGTGTGCGGCTACCGCTCCTGTATCTCCAAGAGACCTCCCAGGCCTCCCCTGCTCAGAGCTGAGGGCAGGGATACCCCATACTTTGAGCTCTCTCTTCAGCCTCCCAGTTTCTCAACCATCCCGGCAAAAGTCTTAGGGCCTCTGTTGTCCTTGGCAGGACAGATCCCTGGAAGGTCACACACTCCAAAACAACCAAAACGATGGATATAGATAAAGTAGAAACACGAGCATAAAAGCAAAAAGGTAATATTCTGGGGCCACCGCTGCCAGGGGCTGATGCCCGCACAGGGCGGGGCCCCTGAGGTCATGGCTGTGTTGCAGCACAGAGCCATTATTGTGCATGATGATGGCCTGAGCCACCCAGAAGAGGCCACCTGACACCCAGCATCCCTGCTCAGGAAGGCAGGAAGGTTTGTAACGCCCTTTAGAGATCTTGGTGCATTTACAAACATCCTGCTCGGCCAGGTGCGGTGGCTCAAGCCTGTAATCCCAGCACTTTGGGAGGCCGAGGCAGGTGGATCATGAGGTCAGGAGATCGAGACCATCCTGGCTGACAGGGTGAAACCCTGTCTCTACTAAAAATACAAAAAAAAAAAAAAGCTGGGTGTGGTGGCAGGCGCCTGTAGTCCGAGCTACTCGGTAGCCTGAGGCAGGAGAATGGCGTGAACCCGGGAGGCGGAGCTTGCAATGAGCCGAAATCGCGCGTGAACCCGGGAGGCGGAGCTTGCAGCGAGCCGAGATCGCGCTACCGCACTCCAGCCTGGGCGACAAAGCAAGACTCCACCGTCTCAACAAACAAACAAACAAACATCCTGCTCTACCTAGTTTTTTGTTAACCGGATTATTCAGTTATATGGAACAATCCATTCTCTAATGAAAAGAGCAGAAGGGTTGTGGGTGGGTTGCATTATAGATGATTTTCAAGCAGTTCTTTGTTTCAGTAGCTCTGGTTTGGCCTGGATGTTTTCACTGTTCAAGTCTTTCAGAATCTTTTTTTTTTTTTTTTTTTTTTAATTTTTAAATAGGAAGTGAGAACATCCCCGAGCAAGACCAACAATTGCTGAATAAACACAAACACCCTTCAGAATCACTCGGACAGGTGCTGCCTCTTCACCTGTGGATTGCAAAGGTGAGAGGGGAGGTGAGTGCCTCCCGGTGTTTGGAGAATCATATGAGGGTGTGCTCTGGGAGTTTTAAGTTTCTCGTGAGTGAAAGTTCGCGGTTTTAGGTTTTCTCTTGATGCTACTTTTTACCTCTTCCTCCGTCTACTAAGAAGGGTTTCCTTGTAGGTGAAAATGGAACCAAATTAGTTCTGTGATCTTGTTCCATTCTAAAAGCACCTGGAATTCAGTAATTTCTGTGGGCTTGTGCTCAAAAGCAGGCTGCCAAGTCCTGGGGTCCTTGTCAGGGGTCCTGGCAGAACCCTCAGGAGAGGGCTGGTGGCTAACACAGACCAGCAAGGCCACATTTAAACCAAGGTTTTTTTTTTTTTAATTTTAATTTTTATTTTAAGCTCCTGGGTACGTGTGCAGGACGTGCAGGTTTGTTACGTAGGGAAACGTGTGCCGTGGTGGTTTGTTGCACCTATCAACCCATCACCTTGTTATTAAGCCCACGTGCATTAGCTATTTGTCCTGATGCTCTCCCTTCCCCCACCCCACCCCCTGATAGGCGCCAGTGTGTGATGTTCCCCTCCTTGTATCCGTGTGTTCTCGTTGTTCAGCTCCCACTGATAAGTGAGAACACATAGTGTTTGGTTTTCTGTTCCTGTGTTAGTTTGCTGAGGATAATGGCTTCCAGCTCCATCAAAGTCCCTGCAAAGGACGTGATCTCATTCCTTTTTGTGGCTGCATAGTACTCCATGGTGTATATGTACCACATTTTCTTTATCTGGGTATGTTTATTAAGGGGAAGACCCAACCATGCATTGTGTGTGGCCACCTGGTAAATGAAAAGTAGGTTGGGATTTTCTTCAAAATATATATATGGGTATGTATATGTGTATATATATATGTGTGTGTGTATATATATTTGTGTGTACATAGATGTACATGGGTAAATTGCATGTTGCAGGGGCTTGGGGTACAGATATTTCCATCATCCGGGTAGTACGCATAGTACTCGATTGGTAGTTTTTTGAGCCTCACCCTCCTCCCATCCTCCACCCTCAAGGGGGCCCCATCCTCTATTGTTCTCCTTTGTGTCCGTGTGTACTCAGTGCTTAGCTCCCACTTATGAGTGAGAACATGTGGTATTTGACTTTCTGTTCCTGCACACACACAGACACACACACACACACACACACGTTTCAGTAGCTCTGGTTTGGCCCAGATGTTTTCACTGTTTAAGTCTTTCAGAATCTTTTTTTTTTTTAATTTTTAAATAGGAAGTGAGAACATCCCCGAGCAAGACCAACAATTGCTGGATAAACACAAACCCCCTTGAGAATCACTCCGACAGGTGCTGGCTCTTCACCTGGGGATTGCAAAGGTAAGAGGGGAGGCGAGTGCCTCCCCAGTGTTTGGAGAATCATATGGGGGTGTGCTCCCTTTATAATTTATAATAATAAAAAATATATATTATTTTATATATTTTGAAATATATATTTGAAAATATATATTTATATATTTTAATTATATATTATATATTTTAATAAAAAATATATGTAAATAAAAAAATATATATATATTTGAAATTCACAAACATTTGCATTTCTCACCAGCCGGTTACCACTGCTGGCAGTGAGGTGGCCTCCAGTCAAGGTCTAGGGACTTGACCTGGCTTGATCTGGCTCCACTCCCACTGCTCGATTTAGACTCTGCCCAGACAAACAGTGAGAGTGTAGCCAGATCCAGATCTTACCAGAAGCTCCTTGCTCCCCCGTCCTACCAGGCTGGAATTCACTGTCAATATCCTCCATAGAAGACACAGTTGGCTTCCAACAGCATCAGGGGATACAGGCAAAGGGGGTGATGGGGCCTGAGATAAGTTTCAGTTCAGCATAGAGGGGGCATCTGTGCCCAAATGACCAACTGGTCATTGGTAACTGGTATGACTTACTGTTCTCACTGAAAATACTACAGCTCCCCAAGTTTGAAAATAACGTCAAGAATCTTTTCTGGCCAGAATGATGTCTGGCACATAGTAGGTATGCAGCCGTTTTAGGATGGATGAATGGAAAATCAAATCCTAAGAGGAAGCTTCCTTCCAGGCTGGTCGTACGTCCTTGTCATAGGTGTCTCCATTGAAACGCTCACCCAGGAGTGGGCAAACTGATTCTGGAAAGGGCCAGAGAGTAAATATTTGGGGCTTTGTAGGCCATGAGGTCTCTGCTGTGATTACTCACCTCTGCCATTGCGGCGAGAAAGCAGCCACAGACAATAAACACAGAATCAAATCAGCATGTTCCAACACAACTTTATTTACTAAAGCAGTCGGTGGGCAGATTTGGCCTGCGGGCCACGGTTTGCCAACCCCTGCACTACACACACGCTCACCGTTCCTACAGGACAGAGACTGCGTCCCCCATCCCCTTAGGATCCAGAACTAGATGTTTTAATTAAGTACGTATGTATTAAAACTGCCTCTCCCTTTTACGATTCTGTTTTAAGAACTTTAAAAAATGTTGCAGGATTCTTAGGTATTATGTGAGGGGTAGGTTGAAAGGCTGAAAGTACCAACCTTGCTTCAGAGGGAATAGTGTGTGAAGCCATTTCCTTCCTGAAACTTGGATTTGGGACTGAGAGGCGTGATAATTGTGCTCTAGGGAACAGCCACCAGGGGGAGCACAATGCACACAGAAGTAACCTGCTTTGCACCAAGAAACCAGGGGTGAAATCTGGAGGCTCAAAGGTGCAGGCTGTTCCTGGGATATGCTGCGTGCTCACTTGGGGTACGGGAGCTGGGATTCTGGGTGCAAACGAGGGAGCAAGACACTGTTTTCTCACACTCTACCCTTCCAAAGGTTTCGTGGTTTTGATTTGTGCACATATTACTCCTGCAAATATATGCTTAAGTATTGTACGTGTGATGTCATCAGGACTAGACCAAGACGCATGGCACCCAGGGGAACAAGCTTCAGCCCAAATTACTTACATAACTGACTGATCTGTGTTTAGGGAAGGGCTGAGTGCTATGAGGGAGAGCAGAGGGAGTTCAACTTCACCTGGATCCCCCGAAATTCAGTTCAGGCTCCACCTGCAAGACCTCCAGGCAAAGCATGGCATCATCCACACAGGACCGTTTTCCAGCTTTCTGTTGCTATTCAAACATATCCCTTGGCCCAAATGACCACATTTTCATCCAGTGGAACCAGGAATACTATACAGCAGGGAAAAACAAGCCACAGCTACACACATCAACATGGGGGCACCACCAGAGGACGAATACAATAAAAAGGCCACAGGAAAAAACATACGAGGTGGTTACTTTATTTGCAGAAAGCCCCAAATCAGGCAAAACCAATATCTTCTCTGGGGATATATCCAGATGTGGCAAAAGTGCTAAAAAGAGCAAGAGAATCATTAAGCAAAACGTTAGGGTGCTGGATATCTTTGGGAGGAAGAACTAAACAAGAAGTGTGGAGAATACATGATGTCTTATGCTGGGTAGCAGGTTATTAACTTATTTGTTAAAACAAGGCCAGGTGAGGTGGCTCACACCTATAATCCCAGCATTTGGGAGGCTGAGGTGGGAGGTTAGCTTGAGGCCAGCAGTTCAGGACCAGCCTGGGTAACATAGCAAGTCCCTGTCTCTACAAAAAAAAAAACAACAAAAAAAAACTGCACCTGTAGTCTCAGCTACTCGGGAGGTGAGATGGGAGGATCATGTGAGCCCCCAGGATATGGAAGCTGCGGTGGGCTATGATCATGCCATTGCAGTCTAGTCCAGCCTAGTGACAGAGCAAGGCTCTATCTTGTTAGAAAAAAAAAAAAAGGCCAGGTATGATGGCTCAGACCTGTAATCCCAGCACTGTGGGAAGCTAAGGCTGAGGTTTGAGACCAGCTGGGGCAACATGGCAAAATCCTGTTTCTACTAAAAATACAAAATATTAGCCAGATGTGCAAGTGCATGCTTGTAGTTCCAGCTACTCAGGACGCTAAGGTGGGAGGATCACTGAGCCCAGAAGTTCGAGGCTACGGTGAGCTATGCTGGTTCCACTGCACTCCAGCCTGGGCAACAGAGCCAGACGCTGTCTCAAAAAAAAAAAAACAACAAAAAAGTCATCCCTAACGTGTATAACATTACATATACCTTGTTTTACAATATATCATAATAACACAGTATAAAACAAAACTAGAAATAATCCCTTCTGCATGTGTATCTCAGGGTGCAGCCCTGGGGAGACGGAGAAGCTTAGATCTGGGGAAGCTTGCATTTGGCCGTTAGGGTTTGCAGTGGCTTTCTAGAAGCTGTAAGGTTGAATGAACTGCAGATGCTCAGCTCAACCCAGAGAACTGCAGCTGGTGTGGAAATCGGGCTTGGTAGTAGAGTGGGAGGCATGACAAGCTGTCGTGAGAGACGTCGGGTCTGGAACACAGTGACTCGAGGCAGAGGACTGTCCCAGGGCACGGGATCCAGGCTGATGCCGAGGGGCCACTGCACCGCTGGCTCAGATGCCCCCGTGACCCCTGCAGCTCCCAGGGCTCCTGGGAATGCCACTGGCGGTGCCCCACACTGGGTGGTAGCTGCCTTTGTATTTACCCAGCCATGCCTTGGCTCCCTGAGCACTAGGTTGCTTCCAGCTCTGCGTTCCAGCACCTGTAGGACGCATCTGTGGATGCTGGTGGGTGGGATCAGCTGCCATATTACCTGCTCTTTGCAGGAAAGCCTGACCTTTTAAGTCCCGGGCCTAGGACCTGTCCCAGTTTGACCGGGACTGAGAAGTTTTGGGGGGACATGGTTTCTCTCAATGTTGAAACTGGAAAAAACCAAACCAGGATGAGTTGGTTATTTCGCCCAGACTTTGGTACTCAAATATAAGGGCTTGGTTTGGCTAGGACTGCTTTTGTGTCGCAGGAGCTCTCCACATATCCTGTACGCCTTCTGGAAACCCTCCATTTATTTTGGAAGGAATAGTCATCCCGCATCTCCCACTGGCAGCTCCTGGGGGCTGCCAGCGTTTTACTGAGTGACTCTCAGCTGCCTCCAATCTCGCTAAGGGCAGATTAAACTAGTAAAATGAGACTTGAGAGCAATTATTCCTCCCTGAAAGGCTGGAGTGAGGACACAAGAACATGCTTTTCAGACTGGGGAGTCAACAATCACAGCAGATTTCTGTAACTGAAGGTGGTGGTTTTCTTGTCTTATCTTCGACTGGCAGGCATCAGACTCACCTGGGGGTCTTCTTAGACTGAGATTGCGGGGCCCCCACCTAGTGTTTCTCATTCAGGGGATCTGGGATGAGGACTGAGGACTGCATTTCTCACAAATGAAGCTAATTCTGATGGTCTGGGGTCCACACTTTGAGAACTGTTGTCACAGTGTTAAGGGATAAAGTCTGGATGAGGGGTTATCAGACTTTTTCTATAAGGGGGTCACGTAAGAAATATTTTAGGCTTTGTGGGTGATATGGTTTGGATCTGTGTCCCCACCCAAATCTCATGTGGAATTGTAATCCCCAATGTTGGAGGTGGGGCCTGCTGGGAGGTGATTGGATCCTGGGGGTGGAATTCTCCCCTTTGTTGCTATTCCTGATAGAGTTCTCAGGAGATCTGGTTGTTTAAAAGTGTGTGGCATCTCCTTCCTCTGTCTCCCTCCTGTTCTGGCCATGTAGGATGATCCTGCTTCCGCTTCACCTTCTACCATGATTGTAACTTTCCTCTGGCCTACCTGGAAGCCAGCACCACACTTCCTGTACAGCCCACAGAACCGCAAACCAATTCAACCTCTTTTCTTTTCTTTCTTTTTTTTTTGAGACAGTCTCAGTCGCCCAGGCTGGAGTGTGATGGTGCAATCTCGGCTCACTGCAACCTCCATTTTCAGGCTTCAGGCAATTGTTTTGCCTCAGCCTCCTAAGTAGCTGGGACTACAGGCGCATGCCATCATATCTGGCTAAGTTTTGGTATTTTTAGTAGAGATGGAGTTTCACCATGTTAGTCAGGATGGTCTTGGTCTTCTGACTTCGTGATCCGCCCACCTCGGCCTCCCAAAGTGCTGGGATTACAGGCATGAGCCACTGCACCTGGCCCTAAACCTCTTTTCTTTATAAATTACCCAGCCTTAGGCATTTCTTTATTGCAGTGCAAGAACAGACTAGTCCAGTGGGCCACATGTTCTCAACTACTCAACTCTGTCGTGGTAACCCAAGAGCAGCTAGAGTGCAAATGAGCGTGACTGAGTTCCAATAAAACTTTATTTACAAAGACAGTCAGTGGGCCAGAATTAACCTCTGGGCTTTGGTTTGCCAGCCTCTGGTTCAGACCATTACAGTGTGATTTTCAATGATCTCCTTAGCTTCTCTGTGTTTTCCATCTTTGTATTGGTGTGTG